CTAGTAATGTTGAAACGTTTTAACTTAAATCAAGAGACAGCTGTATTGTTATATTTATGTAAATGCTGGCGATGACGTGGTTGATGTGGTCCCGCTCTTGAAACTCTGCTAATTTGCACCACTTAAAGGTAGTTCAACAGGTAAAAAGGACTGGATTGGTTGGTACACAGCAAGTTAAATAATGTAGAGTCATAAGGATATTTGCAAAAGAGATCATGTCTTTATTTTATATATAACTAAGCAGTTACTCATGTTAATTATAGGCTACAGTCCGTTTTCCAAATATAAACAAGGATTTTAGACATATACGCCTGCCACATAATCCATCAGCAACAACAGGCTTGTTGTCTATGATCATGTAAAGGTCCGGCCTGATTACGCTATAAACTGCATAACAGTTATTTGCCCACAATTGTGGTTGTACAGAGACTGAGCTTTAACGTGCAGCGCAGGCTCCGTGGGAAGTTTACATTATTTTACGGCATAAACCCTGTATGTTCTGCTGTCCAGTCTTTCTGGCCACATAAAATCCATAGCCTACAGTCTAGTGAAAATGTGATTTCAGGGGACTGTCCCCGGGAAAAAGGGACGTCTGGTCACCCTAGTGTTTTACTACCTGAGTGAACCAGTATGTTTGTTTCAGAGTCATTTTTAACACATAATTAATATAATTATGTTGCATTGTTACGCACAAAATTGAATAATGAATTCTAAAGTAGTGTATTGCGCACTTTAAACGTACTGCTATATACACAAAAGTGTAATAACATGCGGTTTGCAAACACTTTAAACAAATAAGGTACTTTTTACCAGCAGTATTCCCTTTACACAGTAGACTTAGCAATATAATATTAATAATTAGTGGTCATCTTATGTGCATGTGTTCACTCGCACAGATTTCACTCTTGAAATGGCGTAACAGGTCGCGGTGGATATTTTACAAGCACGGACCAGGTAACGTTAAATCAGCATTGAACACACAGGGTGCAGATGTTGGTTTCGGGTTGTTTGATAGGCTGCGTCATTAACAAACAAGCAGCTCACCTGCTGCCGTGATAACGGATCGCGGAAATGTCTTTATTTACATAAAAAGGAAACACAAAATTCAGCTGGTAGGTGACCATTCAAAATATAAAAATATAATGCAGTAATCAGCATCTTCTTCTTTTAGCTTAAGTTACTTTTTTTGTTTCTATGTTTACATTGCATGTTTTCTTATTGTGTAAATAAACCTTTCTTAAAACATGTTCAGTTATTTAACATTTTTTATTGCAAGCAACAGTTTTTAACAAATGCTTTTAAAAAGTGTTGGTCTAAGCAAAGAGGTTGAAGGTGTGTCAATTTTGTGTGAAAATGGTGCACTTTTTTAGTCAATATGGATAATAGATAAGAAGTCAGTGATATGGTGCTCATAGAAAATACCTATCATATTTGTAACTTGACCCTGAGGCTGTAGTCCTACAGTCTGACAGTCAGTCTGTCAATGTAGTAAGTATTACCTGAAGGACATCCGCAGGTGAACAGTTCCTGCTGTGCTAATTGATAAGTGTTTTACAAACTGTCAGATGTCTGAACTGCAAAAATTTAACAAAAACAAATATCAATAAAAAACTTGGATTTAGATATGGAGATAAAAAGAGGCCTACTGAGGAAACTGGAAATCCAGCAACTACAAAAAGAAGTGATCACTGCAATGCACACTGTAAGCATGACTGTAACACAATGTATTAATCATTGTTTTCTCTCCCAAGTTCGCAGCAGATGATGGCAGGGAGAGAAAAAAAAGTCACAAATCATTGTGGTGTCCTCCCCCTTTTGTTTCATGAATAAACAGCGCACAAAATAGCCTCCTCATTGAAGTGGGACTATAATTTGGGGGTATTATACAATTATGAAACCTAATGAAAAAAAAAAAATTATACATATATACACACACATATATACAGTATATATAATATGCTATCTCCTATATGGTGTGTGTCCCATACATTTCTTGAGTGACATAACGTCCGGTGCTCACTTTATGGCACAATTTAACATTACAATTATGACAGTTTCAGTTAAGAGCAATGATATTTTTAGCTACTCACACATTCAGTCGTTCCACTATTGTCTGCCACACTTTTTTGTGTCTGTGCCTGTGTTACTTTTTCTTTTATTTATAATTTTTCTTTACATGTCCTTTCATTCCACGTAAACGTACTTGCTGATGCTCATGTGCAAAGTATGTTGTGTATAAATTATGAAACCTAATAACCACAAACTGCTATTTTAATATAGGCTACTGAAAAATATGCAAAACACATATATAAGAACATAGAATAACTGAAAAAAACACATTGGTTTCAGATCAGCGTGACCGCTGACTGAACAGATAAGGGCTAACCTGCCTGGTCTGGAGCAGGCTAGCTGCACAGAATAAATCGCCGTGGTAACTTATGTGCTACTGCTTTCGTGAAACCGAATCAGGGCTTTATTCAGCCAGGATATCTGGAAAATCCTGGCTTAATCTGCTATCTTAGTTTTGTGAAACAGCCCTCTGTTCTGTTAAGGTTAGTCATGTCTGGGGCGAGTTCAATCTCAAAACGTTTTGCACCAGTGTGCATTGTTTTCGGTTTGAACGTCACGTTTCCTCGCAACTTTGTGCAACAGGCTTTGAGGTATGTTTTCTTCTCATTGGTGGGCGTGTCGCAGGTGTAACCAGCAATCAGCTGCGATAAGTTTGTAAACACAGATGTGTTAATAAGGCAGGAAAATGCAGTGCGCTTGCGTACACAACAAGGTGTTCAAGGCACCACCGTTTCTGTTGAAATAAACGTTTTGTCGCCACTGAACTCGCCTCTGGTGTTAGATCAAGCTCTGTCTTCTGTCCTTCTGATTGCCCATCTGTATCACTTATGCTTCACTCTGCCTGCCTGTGTGTGTGTGTGTGTGTGTGTGTGTGTGTGTGTGTGTGTGTGTGTGTGTGTGTGTGTGTGCTCCCGGTCTCGATTGCCTCATGTGTTCCCCCTGTGTTCCCTGTTCCCCTGTGCTCTCCCTACTCGTCTACCTGAGGATAAATGTTTGTCAGTTCTGATCAGTCTCTCTTGTGTCATCATCTTTATGTAGAGTGTCTCTGTCTGCTCTGTAGAGTTCACATTGTGGATGATGTTTTTTGCTTATTTGCTTGGGGCCTCAGTTTTGATAACTACCTGTTTACCTTGGACGTCTGCATGTAAGCGTGATCCCCTCTTTGTTGTTTAATAAACCCTGCAAACTTACCTATTACTCTGCATGTCCTGCACTTGGGCCCAAAACTCTGTTTCCCTGTCTGCACTTGACTGTAGTGACAGAAACACGGGTATAATAAATGAATTATTAATTAATTAAGCCAAACCACGTAATTTTAACTTAAGCCATGAACTACCCATAAGCACCTTTTAGTGCCCAAACAAAACCTTAACCATTTTTGCATGTCGCCCTGTCAGTATATGGTGTCAGATCAGAAAATGTGTGGTTCTGGAGGCCGTGAACCAACCACATATATTTTTTTTTCATTTGGAGGACATGTTGCTTGTAAAGCAGCTTGTCTTGTGAACTGATCAGTTTTGAGTCCCAAGGTAGTTCTAAGAAAACACCTCATTTTCAAATATTTAAAAAAAAAAGTTGTTAGACAGGTTATATTGCCTCTTGAGCTGAGATAGTGTTTTCCTTTATTGTGTCAAGAATAGTAATATTCAGAGTCATAGTTATAGGTCTCATTTAAATGTGTTTCATTTGATAGTCCATACTTTCATGGGCCGAAGTCCATATTCAATGTATTAAAGCAGCATTGTCTGAGTTGTAATGGTTTTAGGAACTTTGGAGCCACTTCTACCAAAATCATCCAGACTCTTATCTGAAAATTCAGATGTCATATCTGAAGCCTACTCCTTACTTACAGTCAGCTCAGAACAAATGGATGTGTCCCTGTAAACGTCCGTATATGTGTGAATGAGATTATGTGTACATTCTTTTGTATGCACACACGCATTCATGTATGATATGTTCCAGCCTGTTCTTCTGCAATGGCTCCATGGCACCTGAGTGGAGATTTAGTGTCCACCAACTGTTTCTGTTTTTTAATGCCATGTTCTGTAATTGATTTTGCTATAATAGCTATATCCCATCCATGCAAATTAAACATGTCTTAACTTCCTATATTTGTGTGTTAATAAATAGACATACTGTAGGAAGGAAGCTGGCTGACAATAAGTGACTGTTTAATGGTGAGTTGATAATAAACCTGCAGGGGTGGACTGTACCATGACTTCACTGCCCACATCAGTGGAGTGATGACGTCCTGACTTCCAGTTATTACAGTAAGAAGTCTAAGAGCACCCTCTATGTTTAAACATGTGTAATGACAGCTTGATAGGCCTAATTTTAAACTCTTTCATCCATTACACAGAAATGTGGTATTCTCATTCATACCAATTTAAAAAATTATTGGTGTCAATATGTGTCCTTTTTTCACTCCTTTACTTGCTTTCTTCATCCTCTTTGTCCCAGAATCCTTTCAAATCTTTGCAGTTTAAACTTTTTAAAAAGACAAGAAAGATTGTAATAAGGGACCTCTGAACAGAGAATGTTTGGATTTATTGTTAATTTAATTTGTGTGTTGCACAATTGAAACCCTGTACATGTCTGATCACAGTTCTGATATTTTTTTCTGTCTGAATTGCAGTACATTTTCCAACTTTTGTTCCTGTGGAGGTCAAATGCACTTTGTAGTTTGCTTTAGACAAAACCTTTTGCCAAATAATAATAACTTTATTTATATAGCACATTTTAAACCAAAGTTACAAAGTGTTTTGCAGTGATAAAATAACACATCCAAAATTTTCTTATAAACTTCATTTAATCCCCCCTCCCGCATTTTACCCCCTCCCGTATGTTTTTTTTTACCTACAATGTCCCTAATGTGCCATCGTACTTAGATACATTTAATAAGGTAACATTTTGGCACAGTCATTAACACGTTTAAATAATCCATCACAATCTTTCAGCAGACAAAATAGTTAATTGTTAGTTGTAAAAAATGTCATCACATAACAGTTTTCAAGAAACAAATCAATAGTCTACACATTGTAACATGCTGTCATTTTCAAATTTTAGAACTTAAATAGCTGGCAAAACATTCATTCAAGATACTACTCTCATTGTCCTTGTGTTTCCATACTATGTATCCATCTATACAATATTTTCTCCTTCTGCTTTCAGCTAGGCAGTTAGTCTTCTCATTCTTGTTTTGCATGGCGAATGATTTGCTATCAAGTTTATGAATAGTTCAAATGCTAAGAGAAAGATCTCCGCCCTGTAAAAAACTTGATCTTTTGTTGCTCAGCTAGCTCCTCGATAATTCCATACTCATGAATTCCAGGATGTATTCCAGTTTTAAACTTTGGGTTTTTGAGTTTTTCCCAGTAATGATTCCAGTTTCCATTTTTGTCTGCTCCGTAACCGAACACACGGACCTTGGAGAAAAAAAAAACATCTCTTAACAGAACAACATAATGTATGAAACATTGCTTTTGCCACAATGTTTAAGATGTTAATTTTGCTCATAAGCAGTACTGGCAGCTGGACTTCTGAGTGGGCCACAACATTCAAACTGAACTGTCTATCAAGCCAGTCGGGCCACGAGTCTGGGTTAGCCAATGCAGGTCTGATTAAGCAGCAGAGCTCTTTGCTGAGGTGTAGGATTCAAAAGTAGTTTAAAAGAAAGTTAGGTCTGGTTTAGAGAATGACTGACATTAGGTATACTGACATAATGATAGGTCACAACATAATTTAACTCTAATGCTGGGCCTCCATAGGAATGTTCACCCAACTGTTGGCCAATATCACCATGTCATTACAGTTTTTCACAATTGCTGAGACACATTTCTTGAAACCTTCATCCATTTTCTCGTAACTTTAAACACAAAACCTAATCTTTACACTACATTCACAAAACCCCTGACTCAAAAATCAAACAACTGTCTCAAATCCATGTGATCTATATGCTTAAAATCAAGTAATGCTTTCAAAGCATAAACACAACCAGTCAATAGGTAAAACACTACAGAGCGTTCTTTAAACACTACATCAAAAATTAAGAACACAGCGTTCAGGGCATGTAGTTACAAAAAAATGGGGTTTTTTGCACATAGGAAACACCTTTTCCAATTTAAAAAAATATATTGATCAGAACTTACAGTACAGTAAATATATAGTATACTGTAAGTACCGCAAGTAATACAGTACTGAATATCTGTATAATCAAGCACTTGCATAAAAATACAGTACAGTAAGAAAACTTTAAATGAAAAGCCTACACATTTACACTCAAAAATGTTGTGCAGCCGCAAAATCAAAGTTTGCGCTGGGTCCGGCCAGAGGACTTGATCTACATCACATGCAGACTTACTGTAACAATTCCATTGCATGCAAGAGATTTCCCTAGTAAATGAATTTCGGTCATACATCTTCCACCACCAGGCAAAGAAATATTCCTTTATTGGATAGAAGTAAGGGCTGTATGGTTGAAGGTAAACATTTGTGAATTACTGGTTGCTGGTTTATGTTAAGCCACTTGCTTAGCAGGACACCACAGTGAAAGCTGACATTGCCCCGAGGTTGAATGAAAGTACAGAACGTGTCCCTAATTACAGAGTTACAACCAACCGTTGTCTTTGAAGAATTTATTTAACAAAATACATAGACAGCTGGTCCAGAGACCTGCCGCCTAGGGTGGCTTGGGGCGTTTGGCCCCGAGCAAAGGGATGCATCATCATTTACACAGTCTAGGTTTCTATGTTTTGGGGAACAGAGATCCTCTCTCTGCCTTGAATGAACATTCCAAGAGAAGAGAGGAACAACAAGAGAGGAAAACACCAAAACAATCTCACAGCTCTGACCTAAACCCTAGTAAATGTGGACAGACTAACACAAGGAGTTTAGGAGAGGAAAGGTTAAGGATAAAAACACAATACATATATCTAATAAGCCATATACAGAATAGTAGATAATAATGATAATATTAAAAGATCATGACAGGACACAATTTTCTGCCATAACATGCAGAATTATGAGTTGTGTGTAAAAGATGACAGCTGTGTTGTAGCTGTGTTTAACTTTTGCTGCATGTATTTACCATTTTGCAACACAAGTGCATCACAGTGCAAAATGTGTTTCAGTAAGTGAGAATTTGCAATATTTAGACTTTTGCAAAAAGAGTGGATGAGATTTGCAAAGAGTGTCTTAACTACCTGAGCTCGACAAATGGATTTAGGCCACTGAGCACTGGGTTCACAGATTGGGGTTTATTTAGCAATTGTGAAAAACTGTAATAACAATGAGTAACATCTGATTGTTAACACTTCTCAGAAGAAACCTACATAAATACAAACTTTGATAACTTGACTTTTTTCAGTCATTTGCATCCACTTGTTAATCATTAGTGTGTTACAGCAACACTAGTGACATTCACAAGGAAATAACAATTTCATAATTGACTCACCTCGTCACAAATGTGGAGGGCAAGAATCAAAGTCATAAAGCCAGTGGATGGATAACTGCCCTTCTTTTGCAGCCACATGTCATGAACATACCTCATGAAAGCTGGATTGATCACCATCACCTGTTATGAATCAGAATTAGCCTTTACACTTATTTCTAGGAGCCGCTGCCTTTGTATCCAATACAATGTGTTGTTGAATGCTTTCAAAATAATACTCACCAAATCCTTGTTAGCTTTGATATTTGACTTAACTGGCGCATATGACCTGTTGAAAATACCATGAAGTATCAAACTTAACATCAAAGCAAACTGCTTTGTATGTATTTATCAGTAAAATGATATACTAGGCACTCCAAAAGAAAACTACAGCAGAGATGATTCTTAACATTATTATATGTTCCATTTCTGAACTTTTCAAACTGTTTAAACAATGAAATTGCTAGCAGGTAAATGGATGAGCCCCATTCATTCTCACAGGTTTTAGGCGCCTCCTCTCCTGCTCCTACTTGCTCTCATGTTTGCTGGTTCCTAAGAGCTCAAACTGGCAGGGAAGCCTGTCCTTAACACACCCTGGATGGAAGATTAGCTGTTTCTCATATCTCAGTGTCTGCACTGCTGTCCTGTAGAGCTGTATATTGTGTTTAGACTACATCCTAGATGGTATGTTGCAGGTTAATGGTGCTGGGATGTGTTACTTTCCTTCTACTGGACCTGTATTGAGCACAGGGAATTAAGCCAACTACACTGTTTGTCTGACACAGGACATGAAGTCCAGTCTCTTGCATGACAGTCAGTCATTACTTTTTGCCTTCCCTACACAAAGGGAAAACTACCTCTTGTACTGGCACTGACTGTTTGTATTGGATGTAAATTGTGTGCTGCAGGATTAATTGCAGCATGAATGTAAATTCCTAAGTGACAGGCACAAGTTGTGGTGAATTCCTTACTGGTGATAATTATAATCCTCATCATTGTGAGCTACGTACTAAAGTCGAGTGGCCATCTCTCACGGTAAGGTGTGGTTGGCACTAGGTTTTATTTATTTATAAGGCTCTTACTGAGTCTTTACTCCCTTACATTACTCCATTGCTGTCTCTTAATGTGGGCCCTTCTCGAACACACTCAAATGATTTGATCACATTTTTGCATTCAACTTTAATAGCTTTACTTATTCTTAAGGTTTTATCATTTTACGTATACTGACTTCTAATTTTTAGAAGATTTAAAAAAAAAATCTTAAAGTTTATTATTTGTGTTTCATGTTGCCTAGGATCTTTGGTTGTTGTGGCTATATTTCACATAACTGACTTTCTCACTTGACAGCCAAATAATATTGTCATTGTGGAAAAAGGGCAAATTTGACAATAAAAAATTTAAAATGTCTTGGAAAATTTCAATTTTCATGCTTATACAATATATCCTGTCAGTATTTATTGATATAATTATTTATGTTGTAATATTTATGTATTTAATATTGAACTCATTATGTCTACATACTAAGGAGTGTGGAGAAAGAAATTAAAAGATCTGACTCACCTTCCAGAGAATCCAGTAGAGAAGGCCTTGATGAGCCACTCGAGATCTTGTATCTTGAATGGAAACAGCACAAGATGAGTGTTGTTATCCAAGTCCACGGCACTCTCTGGATACATGACATGATGAGTTGTTCTGGTCCCGACATCTGCTTCAAAGCCTTTGGTAGGACCATGGTTAATTCTAAATAGAACAATGGGATGTTATCTTATATGCCACTATCACTGACAAAAATACACTACATTAGGGTACTGCTGGAATTTTAACACTGAGGAAAAAACGTGTATGTTTATCCAAGCAGCAACCTCCAGGACAGAAAAATGCAGTTCCTCAAATGGACACTTGAGGCCGGCTGTAGCCTGGTTTTGGTATCTAATTTCCCAGTTCCTGACAACTGTGAGAGTGTGAATTTTTATATAACTCACCCATTTAAATAATATTAAGGCTTACAGTTATGCACTATTAAGAGCTTCACAATCCTTAGCTGAAAGATTTACCTTATGATGACATCATGTAAATCTATGAGAGGTCCATATCGTGATTGCTTCAATTTACCAGAATTCCCCACCACAGCGCAACTCCTGCAGAGGTCAGGGCTGGGTTTTATGACATCTGGACTGGATGGGAACATCTCAAACAGCCTGTCCACTGTTTTTTTATAGGTACTAAAGTCGCGCCTTTCAACCTGTAAGCGCTGACACACAAACCAAACATACATTTCTGTTAAACTACTTGTGAAATGTATTGCTTAAGTAGTTGTTTAACTAAAACAAATGTTGCATTTGTGATATAATTGTGTTTCACTTCCTGATCCTGATCTGATAACTGCAGGCTGAGAGACTGTTCCAGAAACTTACCTTCCACCAGTTGAAAGCATCCTCTGAGAGATTGTATTGCGCTGACAAAAATGGTTCAACAGATGTGTGGAAACGCGGCATAGACCACAGATCATCTTCTGATAAGCATTTGTCACAAGCACAGGGGTTTGTGTCCTGGAGCTGGTTGAGGTATTCTGAAAACCTTCTTGAAACATGTCCTCTCAACACACAGATGCCAGTCACACACAGCAGGACAACAAACATCTTCACTTTTGCCTTCATCTTGGCTGTGTGAACCTTGTGATTCCACTCTGTAGACAAAGTGTGTGGTGAAATATGTAAACTGTCGTATTGTTTATTTTAGTCTAAAACCAGCAACAGCAAATAAAGCAGATTGGTACATTATGTCACATCATTTTAATATCAGGCAAACACAGCTGCTAGTCATTATGAAATGAACATCACAGTATGTGTTATTTCTTTCATGAGGATGAAGTATAAATGCAAAACTGTTCATTAACTGTATTAAAAATTCTGATATGGTTATCATTAATGATAATAATAACGTCTTATTTTTTTTTCCAATTGATTTCTGAAAATATTTTCATTTATTTCATGAACCAAAATATACAAAAAATGATGCTGTACATTAAATAAACAACAAAAGCTTCAGCTGTTCAAACGTACCTATTAAAGTTGATTTTATTTTTGTCTTACCTGATCAAACAATAATCCACTTCTGTTGCAGTTATACTGAATAAACGTTGGGACATTTAGTAAACGTCAGACCTTAAGATCTGAGGGTGAATATAAAGAACTAGTGGAAGACTTAGTCCCGCACATCTCTGGCAAAGGGGTTTGTGCTTCATGTGTTGGTGTTCCCGTTCGTGAGGCAGGTGTGTGGCAGGCGTGCCTTTATAGGACTTGTCGAGGAAATAAACATAAAGGCCTACACATTCTGTCCATTGCCCATGTATAGTTTTCACGTGGCGTCACATTCCAAAGAAATCGCTCCCTTGAAGGTGGAAAAAAAGGCGTTATTCTCCGCTGCCCAACCAGGAAGCAAGTGATGCACTGTTACTTTGAGTTTGTTACTTTTGCGTTGCCAGAATGCTGGATGGTTGTTCTGCTTTCGGGTGCACTAATCGAGGCGGTTTTTAACGGTAGAAACGCGGCAGAATCAGCTTTATAAAGCCAGGTACGTGTTTCAAATGACCTGGCGACGCCCATGGCTCAGACTCCGCAAAGCAGTTAAATTTTAGTTGAACAGCTGCACATAGGGCCTAATACTTAGGCCTATTTATTCCAGCATTCTTTGCACTCATCACACTGTGTACATGTAAATGCAAATGCTCCGTAATGATCCTTTCTAGTCTTTTCGACCACTCAAAGCTCGGCTTTTGCACTACATCTGCATTCACCAGTCATACACATTCATACACTGAGCCTAAGTGCTCAAACGGAATCTAACATTCACACACTGGCGGAAAAGCCTCCAGGCCGCCGACCTTCCGATTAACGGCCAACCTGCTCTACCTCCTGAGCCACATGCTTGTATGTGTATGTGCACCTGTGTATCACATCCACCTCCGACATTTAGGCCTACATAATAAAAGGAATAATGTTTTGACTGTAGCCCCGAATGTAACTCAACAACAGCAAAAAAAAATATATATATATTTTCAATGTATATATAGGCTAAATAAGCAATAATCTTCATGACGCAGCCTGTCTGGCAGGTCTTCAAAGACTCGCAATAATATCGCTACATTGAAGTTCATGTAGCGTGACCCCCCACCGTTACTCAGCCTGCCTGCATTTAGAGACAGCAGGAGAAGACAGAGAGAGAGAGAGAGAGAGAGAGAGAGAGAGCACTGCTTACAGCTTCAGGGCTTTTGTCCGCAACATCATGAATTGTCCCCCGCAAAATTGTAATCAGGCTAAATGTTGTTGGTCAGTGTCTAGTCAATGTAGGCTATTAACACAGACGGTTAAAGTCGGGGTAGGCAAGTTGTTTCTAAAACACCTTTTGTCATATTTGTCATCCCCTTCTCATTCAGGGGAATCCATTTAATTACACATTTCCTGACGGCTATTTCAGAACCTTTGAAATAGCCGTCGGGAAATGTGTGATTGGATTCCCCTGAATCTCTTCATAACAACTTTGTTGAAGCGAATGATTAAAAAACAAACAGAAGAAGAATAACTACTTTGCAGAGAAGAGTGGTTGAACCTGCAACACCTGGAATGCGAGTCATGCACTCTACCAACTGAACTACCAACTGACAGCAAACTGCTATGAAATGATCTTAAAGAAAGGCACCTGCCGACCCCTGTATTCAGCTTGGTTTGTTATCTCGAGATCAGGAGAAAATTATCCCGTTATCAGGAGAAAACAACAGCCGTTATCTCCAGATCATGAGGTAATTATCCCGTTATCACGGGAAAATGGAGTAAAAAAAAATGCGAATGAATGGCCGCTTAGGGCTTATGTAGAAACTGTCTGTATACACCAATACATATCAAAAAGTTAGGTGCTCTTTAGTCCTCTCTGCAATAAACACAGCCACTCATTCCATTCGGGCCGAATGCAAGCTGAGCCAGGGAGAGGTCTACTCAAAGCTGAAGATGAGGGATTTGAGTTTTATGCACACAAACACTGCTCTATTTTATGGGACTGTGTAAAATTGTAGTTTTTGATTATATTGAACTATTTTAGCACTCTGACGGGCTGTACACATGACATGTTGGTAGCAGCATATTGTAACTTAAGTTGGGTGTATTTGAACCATGCAACCATTATTACCCCAGATTTTTACTAACAAAATAAACTCAATCAGCAACAAAAAACTACTTCCTTAAGAGAGAAAGCAAGAATGTACCCCCCCCCCAACCACTAGATGAAACCAGTAAATATTATAACATTGACGACTTTGCACATTAACTACTTAATTTCCTGCAATCTGAACACATTTTCTGCACCACTTTATGGAGGAAATGTCTTAATTTATATGAAGTCTCTCACATCAAAGGCATGCGTCTTATGCACTGCCCCATCACCACCCCCACTGTCACTGTGGCAGCTCTAACATGCAGAACAACGTACATGTTATGAGTCTAACAAGAAATTCATGTTTGTGTAGTGTAACTGATGGAAACGGGAAAATGTGTATCAGCCTGTTTTTAGCTTTGCCCAATGTTACCGCAGCTGTTAGCACAGCTACTTGTTGCTAACAGTTAGCTAGCCAGCTCCTTACTGAATCAAAGTCAGTGTTATCAAGCTATCCAATAATAACATGCTTGATAGTGAGTAGGCTACTAACAGCCGGGTTAGTTGTTTATTTTCATAATGATAAAGTTAGGTGTTTTCTTACCTGTGATCAGGGGCGATTTTAGACCATTTTTAGGGTTGCTGAAGCACCCCTAAAAACTGGATTTATTATATACTGAAAGTATTTTACATGTATTTATATATAGGCATAAATAATATATATATTATAAACAACAGTTTGCAATATGTTTTCACTTAAAGCCAACATCCTTCTGTAAGCGAGGAATCTCTGTATGTCTTTATGTATTTAGCTGTTAAGGTCAGTGGAGATGATGCAGAGGTACAGGGTGATGATGACCCCAGTCATGTTGATGAGGAGGGAGAGAAGAAAAAGAAGGAGGTGCTGCAGGAGCCGCAGGAGGAGGAGGAGGAGGACAATGGAACCAGAAAAAACAGCGACAGGGACAGTGCGCAGGGCTGAGTAGGCAATCATATGATAACATGGTTAAGGATGCGAGAACACACTATTTTTCTGAACTCATTACTACACATAAACACAATCCCAGGTTTCTGTTTAAGACTGTGGATCAGCTGGTAAACCCAACCCCTCCTTGTGCCTCAGCTGGAAGTAATGATGACTGTGAATTGTTTTTATCTTATTTTACCAATAAGGTGGTGTCAATCAGAGCCTCTATTACCCCCACTACCTCTTACTCAGAGGTTCCTCACCAGCAACAAGAGAGTTTTAACCAGTTTTATCCCATCGACTTGTCTGAGCTTTTAAAAACAGTATCACAAATGAGAGTGTCCTCCAGCCCACTTGATGTAATACCTACAAAGTTTTTTACTGAAAGTAATGGATTCTGTTGGGCCCCATTTGATCTCTGTTTTCAACAGCTCCCTATCTACTGGTTGTGTCCCTGATTATTTTAAAACGGCTTGCGTGAACCCACTTTTAAAGAAACCTGGTTTAGATCCCTCCCTCCCACATAATTTTAGACCAATTTCAAAACTGCCTTTTATTGCAAAGATTCTAGAAAGAATTGTGTCCAAACAGCTGCTCACTGTAGAGGAAAATAACTAAATATTTGAAAAGTTTCAATCTGGTTTCAGGAAGTACCACAGCACTGAGACTGCCCTGCTTAAAGTCACCAATGACCTTTTAATGTCTGCTGATGAAGGCATGTGCTCAGTCCTGGTACTCCTGGACCTTAGCGCTGCTTTTGACACCACTGATCACAACATCATGTTAGACAGACTGAGGCACTAGAATTGACTTTAAAACTTTATTGATCACTTTTAAAGCTCTTCATGGCCTCTCGCCTTGTTATATTTCTGACCTTTTAGTCCCATACGCACCAGCACGTACCTTGAGATCCTCGGGCAGAGGTCTGTTGTCTGTTCCAGAGTCTCGACTGAAAACTAAAGGGGACAGAGCGTTTGCTGTCAGGGCCCCGAGGCTCTGGAACAGCCTGCCCGAGGAAATCAGGTCGGCTGAGTCAGTGAACTCAGTCCCTTCTTAAAACATACTTTTATAGGAGAGCCTTTCCCGATCTTATTTGACTTTATTTTATCCGTTTTATTTTATTC